GTCTCCTTTACCGGACTGGAGGCCGCTAGTTCCAGACCTATAGCTCACACATGTGGGCCGCTCCTGGAACTGCCTTCCACTCATTCCAATTTTGTTTAATTGAGACAGCAGTTCAATAATATTTTGGAAAAAAGTAGCTGGGAAATGGACATTACGTAAGTTAACTCTTCAAGCCGCATTGTCATCATGCAAATTCACACTCGCGACTACATGTATTATTAAACATTTCTTATAGTTTTACTTTGAGGAAGGGAAAGGTCTCACTGAATTTCATACTATCAAATTGTCAGCGAACATTTTGTTTAGAACCTCGATTATCTTGCTTGATTTCTATCTGGTTGTGTTAATTTTGTTTATAGTAGGAATTAATAGGATAAGTTATTAACTGTTCCTGTTGTTGTTTAACATTGATTTAATTTTTGAAATAGCAATCTTGCTTTTTGTACTTATTTACTCCGAGTATACAGCCAACTCTGATTTTCTCGTTACCTTATGTTATCACCATGTTAAGTTATTGACTTTAACGTTGCTGATAAGAAAATGAGAGGCTTATCCTGAACAAAATTTTTCTAATAATTTGAACAGTGTTTCAGTTTTATATTAAATAAGAAATATAACTGCATTTTTGCTTACTTAAAAATGAGAGACATATTTGGAACAAAGCGGGTTTTATAAAAGTAGGTGATATGTTATATACGTTGACATTGTTAAAGTTGTTGCATTTCACGACAGTTCATAGAAATTTACTAATAAACCATATGGATAACATGTTCCAATTTAATTACACTGAAAGTGTGAAGTTGTGTTTTAAATGTAAATATGCTTCTTTCCATTCATCTGGGTTAATGGTATCAATATCAGGAAAAATGCGCTCACATTCTTCACTAAATTTTAGTGTTAGGAAATCATCTGGAATGTTTAATACACCAGATCCAGTTGCCACCTCCTTGAGTTGTTCCTCAGTAACTGGTAAATCTGAGCAAGAAATTAATGGCCATTATATTAATACTATTATTAATGGCTTATTTTGCTTTCTCAGACAATAACCCTTTGTAACATGCATTAACAGGGAGGTTAGAGATCACTTCAAATTCATACATTTACTCTCTGTTAATATCCTCATGCTTGGATGTCAAAAGTATTGTAGATAGATAGATAGATAGATAGAAACCGTTTTATTAACGTGTCAAATAACCTAGTTTGGGAGGTATCCCATACTAATGTGGGGACACAAATAAAATGGATTAAAATTATACACAAAGAATATTACCTACTTAAGAATAAAATTAAGTCATATCATGTATGAAAAAAGATATGAAATGAATTAAGAAGTACATACAGCACAGCCCCTGCAGCCATCATCTAATAGGGAGCTGAGGTCACACTTACATATGCGGTTTTTGAAACTCGCTAATGTTGTGGCTGATCTGTCATGAGTTGTCAGTTTACTCGATAATTTAGGTCCTAAATAGCGTAGTGAATGTTTGCCGTAAGGTATTGTGTTGTATCTAGGAATAAGAAACTCGGCATGTCTTAAATTATAGGAAGGGTTGTGTTTCTGAAATATAATGTACAGTTCATTTCCTTTCCCGGAGAAATGCTCCTGAAAGGAGGTCTTTATTTTCTTAGAAGGCAAAATATGTTGACTGATCAGTATTATGTACATACAGTGTACCATTGAACAACCACCAAAAGGAATTTTGCCTTTGGATCAAGGTCTTATATACTTGGTTGTTATGGGAATTTCATCGGGGAGCAAGAAATAAAAGATTGCAAGTCTTAATAACCCTATTGAATGAATGAATGAATGAAAGTACAGGATCCACATTGGAAATTCATTTATAAGGCACAGGATGCTATGTCACATACCCCACTCTTCAATCCCATAATTCTCAGGGAAGCTATAGATGTGTTCTGGTATACCATCTGGAAGTGCAGTGTCTCTCTGTGCTCTGATCCTGTGTGTGTTCCAATGTTTCTCTGAAAATATCTAACTCCCTCTGTATAAGAGGTACCATGATGAAGGCCAAGAGCAATCTGCCAAAACTTTAAATATAATGTTAAAAGCAGTCATGAAAGGATACTTCTGTAGGCAAATACAGTAAATTATGTCAAGAAGTAAATAACATTCCTTTCAATGATATACACCAGAGGCAAGAGGTACAAAAAGGTTCTGAAGATAACTGCTCCAGATCCCAATTATTGCACATACCTATCAGACTCATTGTCCGGGTCATAATGACCTTGATATTTTACCCAACACAAACTATCTTTTAAATACCTCTCCATCGTTTCGCGCAATTCCTTTCACCATCTTTCAATCTACAAAATAGCAATATAACGTAATATTTCAATTCCGTGAGAGCTACCACTTTTTTCCCTTTTTTCTTAAAAATTTTCGAAATTTGACATCAGAGTGGGGAGTTTCAACAACATTTGCCCTAATGTTCCAAAACAAGAACTGGGCTATAGTGATAGCTGTAGTCAGATGAATCCTTTATGCAGATAGCGTTTTAGATGCGATATTGTTTATGTCAGGTTTGTTTGTATTCTGTGTGTAAGGGGTGGATGGGGCTGGAGCCGCACCGGAGGCAGGCAGAAGTGGGAGGTTTTGACGCCCTACTCTCTCCCTACTATTCTACTAACTATGATTCTAGTAAAACTTCCTGTTTCCAACTCAGTCTCTACCAATTTCAAATTTGCTTAGGAAATAAACAGAGCACTTCCATATCTGATTTGAGGTAGAGGGGCCATATATAACTGTTTCGTGAGGATCCATATCATTGTGGTGTCTGCGAAGGAAAGCATGCATTGTGGCCATGGTCCCTGTTTCGGTTCCCTTATCTACTCTTAGCATCGCAGATATGATCTTAGTTTCATAGAAATGTTCAAGACACCATCTTCCAATTAATTTGGGATCATGATTGTAAACCCAAACTTTCAACCACAGCAGCTTTCTACTAGCTGTGTCCATGCACCCATACACCGCTAATGGAAATGTTGAACTTTGATAACCCATTAGCTTGTCGTGACCATCGAGAGAATGAACCCAGTTAGAACCACGTGCCGTGAAGTTTCCCTTTCTTCGCTGTCTCTTGGCTCTGACATTACCACGGGCTTCGAAACTTTGTGGGTTCAGTTCAGACATCACATCGTAAACCTGGTCTCTGGTAACATTTAGCCCGTGCTCCAATCTGATTTTCTTGTGCAAAGCTCTGTATCCTAGCAGCTTACCAGGACCTTTAAGCTCCTCTTCCACCGCTTCTTTCACGTCCTGAACTTCGATACTCCTGTCATTGTAGATGTTAAAGTGACGAAGCCTTCTGTCAAGGGAACGAATACTCCATGCATATTGTAGAAATTCGCGTCTGAGAAAATCCAGTGCTTGCTGGACATATTTAGTTAAAACTTCTTTTAGGTTATCGTCATCGGTCCAGGTAGCCTCACGGTTATCCGCCATATTGGTTACTAGAATAACAGGCGCCGAGCTTTGTAAGCGCGCGTAGAATGATGGTAGTGGCAGCGCTCGGCCACGGTGAAGTTCACTTTCACTTGCACTTTGAAGTTCATTTGAAATTGAATTTATATTTCACTTTGAACTGTATTTCCATTTTAGTTTACCATAAAAGTAAAGTGGTTTTATTTTTAAAATTCAATGTACTTTCAAATTTCATGTCATTTTACTTTTAAATTTCATTTAGTTGTACTTCATGGTTTATTTTGTTTCATTTTATTTCTCAGTCAAACTAACATTTATTACACAAAAATATGTGATTTTTTATTGCCAGTTCTCGGCCACCATAGTGGTCTGATAACTGGAAAAACAATTATGGCAAAGCAAGCCTGTTAAGAATTGCCTCCAAGACTGAACCAACACACTCACATAAATCCCAATTTCTTCACGTTTATCATCAATAACCGAACGCTAACAACGAAATAAAACAACAACTCCCCTCGCTGTTATTGTTGAAAAGTCTCCTTCCCGCTCACGTGTTCTGCTACATCTGTTATCACTGTCAATCATTGGTTTTAGGTGTGTCATTTGACACTTTGTCAAGTCACATTGTTTATGATGAAACATAGCGAAAATCACGCTAAGGGTAACAAGCGACTAATGATCACAATATTATGCACGATTTCCGTCAAGCCCAAAACAGCAGAAATCGCCAAAAGACACGACGGAAACACAAGGACTGAGTAAGTTTTATTAATTTAACGTGTAAAATTTTCATATTTCGGAATATTTAGTGTTTTAAATGGACCATATTTTATTTCTCATACTATTCCTTATAACGCATTCAAATTCTCAACGGTTGCTCGCTAACTTAACACCGCGTAACACAACGCGTGACGCTTTCAAGAAATAATCCTTCGCTTTTGCTCGAGACATGAACTTGGAACGCATGTGGAAAAAATAACTTCTGCGCCCGCCACCACCTTTTGATTGGTTGACAACAGTCGCACTACCTGGTCACACCAAAATCTTACACGTCTTTTCCTTGGTACAATAGTTCCGTTCTTGCAATTGGCTCAGATCAAAGTCCCAGGGGAATCTACATTACCTCAGGCTACAGCTTGCGGGTTGCACTTTTGGTTGCTTGATCAAGAATTTTTCTGCCCATTGCCCAGTCTTGCACGGGTCTATTCTGCTGCCGCCTCGCCATCCGAGTGTCTTCGCTCGGATGGTTCGTTGGCAACTAGATAATTGCTAGTAAAACCGCGTGTCAAGATTAACGCTAACATTTGTCTAAGGGCCTGGCTTGACTAGGAAACTTTGTAGCAGAAACATTGTTTCCTGTTATGTTTCCCGGGGTGGCTAAATTAGCGCGAAACAAACAAAATGTTTTACTGCCCCAGTGGCTAAACGAGGAAACATTGTTTCGGAAAACAAATGAGCTGCGCATGCGTGTATGAATAAACTGACTTCGAGGAAGTCTGGGGATCAAAGGATGTTCACATTTTCATTGTATCAAAGCCCTTTGTGGCATTCTGCACAATAA